TAGCCATACTAAGCTGCTTAAATTGTGGGCGTAAATAAATGTCCGTATAGCACAGAAAAGCTGGCGCACTGCCAAATGTTGCGCCTGTCATCTGAAGTCCTAGTGATTACTGCGCATGCGTGATATAATACCGGTATGATATCGCCCAGCCCTATGAGGTAGGTGATGATGTCCATTGATCATACTCCTGTCAGTTGTTAAGGAGTCTGATGGCAGTGGGGAAGAAGGAGTTGTTGAGGCGGGGAGGTTCTAGATTTCACACTTCATTACCTACCTCCTAAGGGGAGAAGTGTGAACAGTCCGTGTTGGGGGTGTGTGGGGTCTTTGAGGATGGAGGCAGCTCTCCTCTGGACTCTGCGGTGGTAGATGCTCTGCAAAGAGGGCAGCAGAGTCCTGATGATCTTCTCCGCAGTCTTCACCACTCTGCAGGCGTTTGCAGTCCATTGCTGTAGTGCTACCCAACCACACAGTGATGCAGCTGGTCATTGTGCTCTCTACAATGCAGCTGTAGAAGTTGCTGAGGATCTTGGTTGACATACTGAACTTCCTCAGCCTCCTCAGGAAGTACAGCTGCTGTTGAGCCTACTTGACCAGCTGTGTGGTGTTCAATGTCCAGGTGAGGTCCTCACTGATGTGGACGCCGAGGTACTTACAGTTTTTTACAATCGCTATGACAGTTTTTTCAAAACATTTAACAAGTTTCCTAAACTCTTAACACGGTTAGCACAACATCCGTCTTTGTAGGCTATACAATTAACACATTTCTTGTTGCTTTGATACAAAATGCATAATGTTAACACCAATTTAAAATGCTTGAACTTCTTTTACACATAAGCTCAACCAAGACCAAAACAACGTAATTTTACAGTCAAATTTACAAATGCTTTAACACTGTATGTCAGAACAGATAACATCATGTTCTAAACATAACTTATATAGGCTAAAGTCAAAGTGAACAGCTGTTCATATTGTGAATTGAAACACCAATATATTCCCTGTATTTTATTCCATTGCCAATGAGAAACAGCTTATTGCAGTTATGCAAATAGATAAATCACAGCTGATTCCCATCTAGGAATCACACTCAGGTGTTGAGGTTTTTCCAATCACATGATCATATGTTCTAAAAGAGGACTCTTTGGGCTGATCTTGTGTGGAAAAGGAACAATATAGAGCAACACAAAGAAAGAAACATGTCAATATTGTCAACATGGTGATTTACAAACATTTGTGAAAGAATGGGAAGAGTGAATTGAAGCATGATACTATCATGGAATGCCACCTTTGCAACAAATCAGTTTGTGAAATTTCTTCCCTGCTAGATACTCCATGGTCAACTGTAAGTTGTATTGCAAATTGGATGCATTTCAGAACAACAGAAACTTCCAAACTTCCTCGGGCATTAACCTCAGCACAAAATCTGTACGCCGGGAGCTTCATGAAATGGGCTTCCATGGCCGAGTAGCTGCATGCCTCACATTAACAAGCAGAATGCCAAATTTTGAATGGAGTGCTGTAAAGCACACTGCTTCTAGACTCTGGAGCAGTGGGAATGTGTTCTGTGGAGTGTCGAATCATGCTTCTCTATCTGGCAGTCTAATGGATGAGTCTGGGTTTGGCAGATGCCAGGAGAACGTTACCTGCCTGACTCCGTGTGCCAACTAAAGTTTGGTGGAGGAGGGATAATGGTATGGGGTTGTTTTTCAGGGGTTGGGCTAGGCTCCTTAGTTCCAGTGAAGGGAAGACTTAATGTTTCAGAATAGCAAGACATTCTGGACAATTCTATGCTTCAAACATTGTGGGAACACTTTGGGGAAGACCCTATACTGCTCCAGCATGACTGTGCCCCAATACACAAAGCAAGGTCCATAAAGACATGATTGGGTGAGTTTGGTGTGGAAGAACTTGACTGGCCCTCACAGAGCCCTTGACTGGCCGTTTAGATAATCTGTTCAAAACAGTTAACTTTCAGGTCAAAACCTAATGAAATTTAGAGCACTGTCAATTGAAACATGCTGCATTTTGACAGACAAAGGACACTATGCACTTGCACTAACACAAATAATTGTGCTTTTAGCAGAAATTTCCTAATTTTGTTTTTGTTTGCTGCTTCGTTACCATCTACATCATCTATACGAATGAGGCCATGGAGTGTCCCCCCCTTTCCTTTTTGCAAGG